TCTTAATAATGCAATGAAACGAGAAGATTACGGTTAAGAACGAACAGCAAATATTGTTGTGCTCTGTCTGTTGCGGTAAGTGAATGCCCCAACGGGTTAATGCCCTACCTACCTGCTGCATTCATGTAATTGGCTCCTTACGATCATATTCAGTCGTATGCACACCACAATAAAGTGCAAATAAAGTGGAAAAAAAGTTTCGAAGGTTTTGCAACGATTCAGGAACAAAAATGATTTATGGTGTTCGTGAGATGAAACTGACGAGAAATACAAAGACCAATCACAAAACAATTAATTCTCGTATGACCTTTTGAACAACCACTCATAAAATTTATGCGATTTTCAACTGGAACAACGCGCGTTTAGTATTTCTCTAGATCTTCGTGTTCACCATACTACAACACATCAATAGTTGTTTCTCTTCGGCATAAAATTGCAAACCAACGCTATACAAATTCAGCACTTCAACGAATGATCGTTCCAATAGCAGTTAAAGATTCCAATATCGAAATGCTGGATCTTGTACAGAGTCTGTCTAAATTCAGAGAGCAAGACTGATCAAGTAACATCAGTCAAGTTTCATAAGCGGTTTGGAACAGGTGGCATCGATCGACGCATGAGTGATAGAATCTATAGGCTTAAGTGAAGTGAATATCCAAGTATGAGGGGATAGTAACGAGAGAGTATTATATAGCAATGAATAACGTTGCGAATAAGTCATAAAATTTAAACAGAGCGATAGAAAATGCGATCGAGTAGTGGCAAATCAACGAACAGAAACAATCTATCAAGCTGCTGGCAGATGCTTTCGACTGATAAAAATCAATTCAGATATGCCACGTGTGAATGTGCCGATTGCCGAATGGTCGAAGAGCGTCGTCGTTTGAACAATATGCTCAGTCGACGACGCTTCGAGACNGATCCGAAGTGTGCTCTGTGCTCGGCTCACGGTGAGAAACAACCATTACGTGGTCACAAGAAGGCGCAATGTCCTTTCCTGAAGTGTGGATGTCATTTGGTATGTCCGTATCAATTCTAGGCTGTACACAGGCATTTTCATGCGTATTTATGTGATATGGGCTCATCAAACTGATTCTAATAAATGTCAAGTGCATAACAGATCATACTAAAATAGATTCAATGTAAATGGATTCCATCAAAAGCAGTGCGACCAATCTTGAACAGACTACCCTAATAAATGTTCTGATCAAGGAATCCTAATCAAGATCAAGGAATCTAGCTGGGAACACATCTATCATTCAAGTCTTTCTTGAGTATCTGAATTATTCGGTATCCATAAGATTGGGGCTTAGTCCACCAGTCCAAAGCGAATATGTTTATGTTGGCTAGAAATAGCAAATCTGGTAACTAAATGTTTAGCGTTGTATCCAAAGTTGGCTTGAAACTACTGGAATAAAGATTCCAAATTTCGTTTCAGTGTGGATTAGTTGAGAATCGTCGAACTCTAATGGCACGACAGATCAAATTGAGACGAGATCAGCAAAAGCAGCGTAAAGCTCAATTGCTCGTCAATACAACCTCAGCAAATTTTCAGTCACAAATATCACCGATCAATATGAATGAAGCGGCTAAAGGTATGAGTTCAGCTTGATTTTTGCTTGCTTCGAAACCCTGCTTTTAATTCGTCCTATTGAAACTTACATTCATGAAGAACACAATCAAGCTGTTCATGTGTAGAACGGTGGACGCCTGCATACCGCTTCATCGTCTATTCCTTTTAGTGGTCCATTGCTGAACTTGGATCCATATCCGTTCAAAATCCAGTCATTTGATTTGAAAATTTTGAATGCATGAAATATTTTGAAATTCCCTGACTTTAAGAGTTTGAAAATTGAAAGATAATTGGTGAGTATCTTTTTAGAAGATGTTGGTATGACAACGTTGGTCTCACCGGAAAAAGAGAAGCTATCCGAACCGTTACGTGTACCTCCGCTTATGCCAGTACCGGTCAAACCGGACTGCACTGCACCTTTCACGCCGTTACTTTTGCAACATTCGCCTGTCCTGGCTGCATCTTCGTCAATGTAAGTGGCGGATTCTGTTCCTTGAATCGCAAAAGTACTAGTATGTTTCCTCCTCAATGCTTCTGAACTAGGTAGACAATCTGTCTTAGTTGATATGCGATAATCTGCAGTTGTTGTTAATAATGCACTTGAAATAATTCTTTGATTTGATTCTCTTTCTGTCTCTTCTTATCTGTTCATTTCAATATCGATAGGCTGGGCTNCAACTTTCATCAATTTTTCAATTATGTCGTCTAAAATTATCACTCGAATATTCCATCACATTATCATTATCCAATATTAGAAAATCACAAGATTGCAGTTTATCACATACCCACATTCAGGACATTAAATGCACTGAATTTGATGACTTTTGTGTCATATTTTGCTCTGTATTTGCCAATGTTTGCACAGTGCTTCGTGTTAAGCAGTAGTTTAAGTGGCAGTGTCCGTCGGTTGCGTATACGATATTTGTGATTGCTTAAACTGAAAATTTGACGTAGCCTTAGCGGTCTCGCGATTACA